GTATTATTGATCCATAATTCACAATTTTGCTGTTGTTCTTGTCATGGAAAAGTGTGTGTGTGTGTGTGTGTGCATGCTCGTTATTGCGTTTTAAATTACCGTTCCTTCTATCGGACACCAATTCTCCCCATATGCATGCAAACATTTCCTGTTCCGGCAACACGACAGCACATTTGCACATTAAGTTGTCAGGATGTGAATTAAATCTTTATGTAAGTGCATACACATTGATGATTGTAAACCTTCATCACAGTAAAGGGCTATGAATTAAAAATGCAATCTATAACAGCTGAAGCTGACTGGTTATTTGACACTCAGCTTCATCTTATTCATTGATTTCTTCCATGTATGTTAATTTTGAATTAAGGGATAGTATATTAAATATATAGTACTTTGTAAATGTAACACATGCATGAAGTGTGAAATAAATTTGTCGCACATGAGCAGCTGAGCATCTATTCATTAAGCCAACGCAAGCTATGGCAAATAAATGAAGTGAAGGTAAGTCTCAAACGCTTAACACACAATTATCATTAAAACCAAAGAAACGAAATGATCTTACCAGGGCTGTTGCCGCTCTCTCTTATTGTGGTCTTTGATTTAGAAATTTTAGCTGATGATTAATAAAATGTAGCTCATATTAGTTCCTTTCAATCTGCATATAGCGTGGGAATTGAAGATCGGGTTTATATCCGTTTTGCAAAAAGACATTTATCAGGTATGTGATTCTTCCATATTAATCCGGAAATCTTAAAATCATGACACACGTGAATCATGTAGATCAGTATTAAAAATAAAATTGTGGGTGGTGGAGGGTTGGGAAGATCATTGTAATTTGTTTCAAAATATTTATAAAATAGGATATGTTTAAATGATAATATTAGTTAAACAAACTACAATACTTAACAATCATTCGATCCATCTTACACTCTTAGAAGAAAAGGTTCTATATAGAACCTTAAAAGGTTCTAAAGCGCTACGTATTTGGAACCCCTAAAATGTTCTATATCAAAATTCAAGATATGGGGGTTAGAAAATGTATATATTTATATCATTTTATGTAGTTAATCAATATACCACGAAGAGTGCCATTTAAGATTTTCTCCTCCAAAAATCAGCATGATTAAAATGTGATATTAAGTTTAATAAACAATAATTTAATTACAACTACAAAATATTGCAGAATAATGTAAAATATGAATGAATAATAGCCTATAAAGAACCTTTGTGCCAAAAGGGTTCTTTCTTGTCAGAACCTTTTTTTAGCATAAAATGTCATTTGGAGTTGAGTAAAGAACCCTATGCTACATATACCCTTTTTTCTAAGAGTGTACTATGGCATTTCCATCAGATTTCGTTTTGTAGCGTTGAGCATTTTAACCAATCGCCCACGTTTCTGTTGTTTATGAGCTTGTTGACCAATCAGAGGCGTTCAGTCATTGCTGAAAATAGTTTTGTTCCGTGCGCTGACTGAATTCTTCTGACTTCCATCATGAACAACAAAGTGCAGATTCTATGTAAGAGATTCATGCCACACTTTTCTCTAAATTTTTAAGGGGCGTTTTGTGCATGCTTAAACTCGCGCTAGACCCAAGTTCACTATCGTTCCTGGCACTGCGTATCTGGGCCTATAGCCCAGTGCTTTTATTTGGCTTGCTCTTTACACGCAAAAGTAATACGTGCATCTGGTAGGCGAAAAAAGTGTATGTAGCCTACGGTGCTAAATTGCTTATTGGATGCAAGTAAAAGGTAATTTGTTCGTAAAAGGTCATTTATGTGACCAGGTGTAAACGGAACCGTTTTGATAAATCAGATAGCTATCCGATCTGAGAAAACGCATGAAGAGGCCAGGAGTAAACAGCCCCTACGAGTAATATCCCTTATGGTGCAGGAGCTAACACACATTCTCTTTCTTAACTCAAACAGCTGTCAGAGAAGTCTTGATCAATACTTGTGCTAATTCATACATGAACTGTCAGAGCTGCTGTATATCTTAGACATCATGGTCACACTAAATGGACATCTTAATTTAAATCTTGGATAAAGCAGGGAAGAGAGAGAGGAGGAGGAGTTGGATGCCATGATGAATCGATCTTGTCAGGGGAGTGCATATCTTTCTCATATCATGTATGTCTTTCAGATTTTGCAGACATTAACTCCCATTTCAGGTGGTAGCAGCATAGATTATTTACTTTATTTCAGAGCTGCTGCACAAATACTGACAACTATTGTGTATTTTGCTTGAATAATACAGTAGTTTGAAGATCTTTTGGTAATGGGTACAGGCAAGATAACACAACATACTTAACATAAACAAGAAGAGAGTGAGGGAGAACAAAAGGTTTAAATACACAGAGGACAGATTAGAGAAACAAGGCACAGCTGGGGGGGGGGGACAGATACAGGACAGACATTTCTATAACAATAGTTAACAAATATTTTCCTCATCACACTTGTCAATTCACTTTTGTTGGTCCCAATTCAAGTACATAACAGAACAAAAGCAGTTTTAATGTTAAGCTACTGTATAATTGTGATCTAGTGCAGGATCAACTTAATCGTCGCAAGAGGGGAGAAAGTTTCAACCATTACACTAACATTTGGCCATTTTTTTTTTCCAGTTAAAATAAACATTGATTTGATTGTGCTTGGGCTCTGCGTGACACCAATGTTGATTCTCATTTTAATATGAGCTCGAGACTAGATTACTGTAATGCTTTATAAGCTGGTTGGCCTGCATCCTCAATAAACAAGCTACAATTAGTCCAAAATGCAGCCGCTAGAGTTCTTACTAGATCAAGAAAATATGATATCACTTCACTGGTTACCTATAAAGTTCCGTCTAATTACAAGGTATTGCTTTTAAGCTCTAAATGGTTTAGCTCCAGTCTATTTAACGGATATTCTATCACACTACAATCCATAGCACTCTTTAAGATCACTAAATTCGAGGCTTCTGATCATTCCTAGGATATCCAGATCCACCAAAGGAGGGAGAGCATTTTCACATTTAGCTCCGAAGCTCTGGAATAGCCTTCCTGATACTGTTCGTTGCTCAGACTCGCTCTCCTAGTTTAAAAATAGACTGAAAACACATCTATTTAGCCAGGCATTGATATATATATATTTTTTATATTACAGTTACTGTAAATTTGGCCTCTGGTTCATAAACACCAGAGGAGAACTGGCCCCCTGACTCAGCCTGGGTTCTCCCAAGGTTTTTTTTGTTTTTTTTCTCCATTGGGTCATCTGATGGAGTTTTAGGACACCATCGGGTTGCTTGATGGAGTTTTCCGGTTCCTTGCCACTGTTGCCTTTGGCTTGCTCAGTTGGGGATATTCAAATCAAATGACCCATCATACCATTGATCAGCTCTACCAAACTTGGATGTCTTTTTTTCCAGTAATAAACAAACACTGTTAAGTTGTTTTGATTGATACTGTGAAGCACAGTATTGTGAAATGATACAATCTGTATTGTGAAAAGCGCTATATAAATATATTTGACTTGACTTGACTCTCACATTCTCTTTTTGCCACCAGACCATCCTCTGTTCAGCTGCTTCTTTTTTTTAACGAATGATTCCCTAGATTCGAGATTTAGAGATGTCAACCTTTTTTTCTCTTTGTGACAACTCAAAACGTATCTATTTACGGAGATGACGAGATACACACAGGCAGGTGACGTATGTACACAATTTGCCATGAAAACTTCCAAATTCCGTTATGTCTGAAATATTAACACTTATAAGAATACCATAGGGAATCAGGCTAAAGAAAAAATAACATTTTGGATGATGGATTAATGGTGTATTGACTTCTTATTTATGTTTTGTTACATGGTGCACTTTTAACTTCTCTTATAACCTTACAAAATTTGTAAATTATTGTAAGGTTGATTTAAAAGAATTTATACACCAAATTAAATGGTAATTTTTAAGAAACTAAATTAAAGTCTGAGATCCAATATTTGAGATATTATACTGCAGTGAAGGTAGTATTTGTGCACAATTTTACCTTTTATTGTAAACCTTGATTTTCTTTATTTATTTTATGGTGACATAGTTACATGACCATAGTTACATTGTACTTGCTCAGATAAGTACTGAGTAATTAACTACTTGTAATTATGCATTATTAGTAAATACTAAATAATATATTAGTAGATACTAACTTTTATATGTTAGTATTTACCTTCAGCTGTGACTTTCTCATTATCACCTGACTTTGGGGGTCGTCAATGTATTCCAAAGGTACGAAACCGATATTAGTACTTCAAGGTTGGTATATTAACATTGTATCAGCTACTGAAATATGTTTTTTTTTTTTGTTTTTGTTTTTTTTTGTGGTAAATTTAAGTTAAATCAGTCAAACCTAAATTGTTGCTACCATATTTTTTACAGTACATTTCTGGTGACCACAGCTGCCAGTTTTTACCATAAATTTCACATACTTTTATTGTACTGTGTAGCGTGTATGCACTAACACTTCAATGTCTCACAAACGAATGGCCGTGATTCACAGATCCACTCTGTTCCTCCACTGCCCTCTCAATCTTTCATTATGCGCTCACTCTTCACTTTATTTTCTGTGGGATTACTTTGCACTCTGAGACTCTTTTTAAAGCATTGAATGGCTCAGACACTGACACAAACAGAAAGCCATTAATATGTTTAGATTTATGAAAAGTGTAGATGGATTATTGGAAAAAACATCCTCCTATTTTCTCTATGCAATTTGTCTGTTTTTGTTTCAACGCTTGCCACCTGAGATCTGTAATTCGAAATAAGCAAGTGATGCGTGTAATTTGTGTTGACTAGTTTTGACTGCCTTTCTACAAAACAAAAAGGCAGAGAGACTGTTGAGAGAATGTGTGACATTGAAATTGCCAGAAGGCAAAACTCTGCCTCAGTTGATTGCAGATAGTCTTCAGAAAGCACAGTGTGCTTGCTCTCGTGCACATGGTAACAGCATGTTCTCACACACTCTTTGCATATGCTGCTCACGCTTTGAAGGACTAACTACAGAAACTGGCAATGAACAGCCAAGAGAACACATCCAGCGATTTCCTCTCAGGTAAACAGCTCTTAGCGCACCCTCATTCTGATTTTCTCCCTTCTGTATTGCCTTCTTTGCTGGCTCACCTCATCTTTGTCCGTAATAGACTATTGTTTTGTGGAACTGGCTAATCCGTAGAGGCTTATTTTTGTGTGTGAGTTGAGTATTTAAATTGATGCAAGACATAGTTCTTCCTCTGTAATGTTGTGGCTGCAAATTTTCAGCAGGTGTTTGCTTTCATAATGTATTCAATTATAATGGTGAATATTAAAATATTGAATTGATACTTCACATTCAATTACATTTGATTTTGTTCTTTGTTGTTTGTGTGTATGGACAGTCTAAATATGATTATTGGCTTGCTTTATGGACCATTCAACATTTGATTTCACTTTTGATTGTACTACCTGTATATTGTCAGTTATCAGTACATTTTTAAATGTATTATGATATATTATATAATGTATGTTTTACGTTATATGAATTATACTCTTATAAGTTGTAAAATATACAAGCTCCAATATGCCATCCTGTAATACATAATACATTGTCACCATATTTATAGTGAATTTCATTTTCTTTTTTTTTCTTTCTTTTTTTTTTACTGTAGTTTAACCGGACATGTTTTAAGTGGTATCGTTTGTGCTGAAATAAAATAAGCAATAAACAATAGGTTAGTACCTCTATACTGATTGATTGGATAGAAGAAAAACCTATGATGTAAAAGAAAAAAAAGCAAAAACAGCATGTAGTAATTGCCTGCAGTTCTCCTTTAAATGATCCATGTGCATGTGAAGCATGTGAGTGTATACATGATGTCATGATTCTGCCATCATGTTGTTGATTTTACTAGTCTTTTGGCAGGATCATGGCAGAACCATGTTTTGAGCACAAGTGCATGGCCTGATGTGTGGGCCATGTGCTTGTGTTGTCTCGTTAGATACCATGCCCCCTTGTTATCCTCGTCTTGTCATTATTACCTAGTCTGTGTCACCTGTTCCCCTCATTAGTTTCTCCCTATTTACAGTAATCCCCTTGTTTGCTGTCCTGTGTCGGTTCATTGTCAAATACTGAGTGTTACTCTCCTTGAATACGTTGTCTGAATCGAGTGATAAGTATTGTGAGTTTGTTTAGCTGTTTGTTTTCTTTATCTTGTCAGTATCAGTCAGTGTTTAATCCCAGTTTATGTCCTGTTTTAGTCTAGTTGTACTGCCCTTCTGTCCTGTTTTGCCCCCTCGTGGGTTTTTGTTTTCTGTTTTGTGCCTCAATAAATCCCTGTGTTTGCATATCGTCTGCGTTTGGGTTCGCTCCTTCAACCACATGACATGTATGAATGAGATACAGCAATCTAATGTTTTCTCAAGGAAACATGCATTATGAATATTAGGAATATCAGTAGTAATGGATGTTGCACATGAAATTGTTGTCCTCACTGAAATAGTAAAACAGAACACATGCAGTCCAGAGCAGCTGGAGGAAGAGAGCGAGAGAGAAAACAGATCAGCTGCTGTATTACTCTCTGACCTATTTAGAAGAATTTCATCATAGATTTATTTCCAGGCTTTTGTTTTGTAATTGGTTACATAGTCATATATTGAAGTGATTAATCAATTGTATGGCTCTCTTATGCTCAAGCCAGGATAACTTGTACTTTAAAATGGAAATAGTTCATATTAGCTGCTATTGGACTTGATAAAAATTTTAATTTGGCATGAGTACATCTTCATAATTTTAATCAAATCAAATGAAGTGACTTAAAGTTTCAAGTCACTGCTAACATAACTCAACCAGGCTTTACCCCCTTCTTGTTTTTGCGTGCTTTCGGCAGGAATAATTTAAATGAGGAATATTGTGATGTCTACGTTCCCAGGAGAAAACAAATTTCTATCTTCAAGGCATTTTAGGGAGTTCAAAAAGTGTGCTTGCTTATCTAGAGAATAACTCACTTGGAGTGACTTTGTGCTTTGTAACTATGCAGACCTTTTTCATGCTTAAACAGCAACATTGCACAATAAAGAAAAGTTGGGAAAAAAAGCATAATAGGACATCTGTAATATCCTGACCTGAAATCAGGATCTTAAATCCTTGTGCCTTAATTGTGTTATTATAGCACAAGCAATTCTGGCTTTGATTCTGAGGAAACCAAAAATGTTTGACAGGCTTGTTAGATTTTAGAGGATTTTGTGCGTCTTTCTTGTTCTACCTTAGGGAAATGCTCAATTACCTGTTTGTCCAAGTGCTGCCTGCAGTGTTAAAGTTCCAGTGCTGGTTTCCTTGAATGCAAATGTCTACTTTTTCTAATTATCTTTTTTTTTTTTTTTCCAGTTGCAAAAGTAATTTATTTCTTAGTGCTGAACTTGCAGTGTGTGAGAATTACTTTGGGGCATTTCCCAAGGGGGTTGTTTAGCAGGTTCTGGGAGTTCTAGGAAAATTGTTCATTTTCTTTGTTAATTATACTGTATATTTGTGTAAACGTTTTGTTTGTTTGTGTGAATGAGACATTTATTGTCTTGTGTGTGATATTTATGTTTGTTGAGATATCATAAAATAGTACCAAATGGATTTAGTTTACTGTATTAATTCAGTAGCTTTTAGATCTTTCTTAGGGAAACTTTCTCTGTGTTTGTCCTCAGAAGTATTCAAATGCAAATAAGCTCAGATGCTTTATTAAACAGAGAGGCATCTACTTAGTGAGTCTGTTTTACAGCCACAAATAATAATGATAATGATAATTCTAAATTATATTCACTATAATATGGGATAAAATGAGCACATTTCTCATTTGGGTTTGAAGAGGAATTTAAACCTTACTGTTAGAGCACAGAGACTGGCATTACAGCCAATGAGGACGAGAGACACCACTTCATGTCACATTTGCAATAAATATGTTTTTTTTTTCTGCCTCTCTTTTGCCATTTGTGTTTTGCTTCCTCTCTCCTCCCTCCCTTTGTGTGCATGTTATTGCACTGATAAGCAGCTTCACTTTGGCAGTGGCATAAAGTAATCTCCTTTTTGATGCAACCACATCACGAATGGATTTAGCAGATTAAAAGGAAAAGGCAATAATTCAAAATATTATTAACGTCTTCTAACAAAACCGCTATAAATGATTTGATAAAATCACAGCAGTGGACATTTTGAAGTGCTTATTTGGAGAAGCAGAAAACTGTCTGTTAAGATAAAAACTGCCCAACAATTGCCCTCCCTATAATAGCGTGAAGCCGTAAGCCATAAAATGACACTTTAAAGAGCCCCTATCATAGCATTTGAAATGTGACTGTTTTTGTTTTGGGAGTTCCCAAAAACAGTTTAATGTGCATGCAAGGATAAAAAAACACTTTATTTGTCTCATAATATGCATTTATTTTTAACTGATTTGCTCAACGACTCCCAAATGATTCGTTCGACGATTCATTTTCCCAAACACCTCCTTTGAGTGACGCGAATCTGCGGCGATTGGTCAAATGACCCAGTCAGTTGTTATTGGTAAACCGTAGGTAGAGACTGTCGGCAACGGAACGCCCATAACCAGGATTATAGCTTGTCAAGTTTTGAAAATTGTATAAAGTGTTTGAACAAACGTGTCAGAAAAAGTGCACTTTCCACACGGTCCCTTACTCGCGTCTCCGTCAAGACCGAGCTTTCCCGGCGAAACTCACATTGCGGCTTCTTTTGAGGAACAGTGCTTATTATATAGAGCGAAGTCATATTTGGCTAAGTCGTTTAGGAGGTAATTGCCATTTTTCAATGAATGTCTGGTGAATATCAAAAACAAAACTAACTTTACCCCGCTTAGAAGCTGCACGGAGTGTACACAACACATTATAACTATATTGTGCGCGCTACAGAAAACGTAACAGCAAACATTATTAATAATACTTACAGATTGTGATTCGGAGGAGGACGAACCTGATCCATATACACTGGACTGAGCCCTCCTTCGGGAACAACCGGCTTGCGAATCCATATTTGAATTCATTTATGTTTTTGAATGAATCGTCATTAAAATGATGAGCACAAGGTTTCAGCTGTACTGTTGTGGTATCGTTGCAAATATGAACTCTGACCACTGATTCTTCACATTCTCGTCCCTGGACAATGGAAACAAGTGGCTGAACTGTCTTTGCAATGTATAACACTGCGTCTTCTCGACATGACGCTATTCAGCTGAAGTTTTTGAATATGTTCTAGACTAGACTTCAAGTTTACACTCCCGTCTGCGTGCGCAGTTGTTGGGAGCGGCCAATGAGCTTATGTTTTGTATCTACGTCACGACGAAACAGCTAATGACTCGTTTCAAAAACAATTCATTTCTTAGACTCAGAGTCGACTCTCACTTTTGAAAGACAATAACTTTATATACTGTGCACTTTCAGATATAAATCTTTGCAGGATGTTTTCATTCCCTTAGAGCTATAGTCCACACTACAGTCATTTTCAAAAATCCATGATGGGTGCTCTTTAAAGTAACTACTAAAGATGGACGTGAGAGAACGGCGCAAGGCCGGTGGTGTGAGTGATAATGAACGACGCACCGGTCTCACATCTCTCAGCGTCGAGCGAGAGAGGCACAGGCCTGATTTTACGTTATGTTTTGTATGCCAGCAGTCATCCATGTGGGGCTGTTGGTTTATACTTTCATTTTGTATTTGTGTTATTTTATTTATTAAACTTCTGGAATGTTTGCCGGTTCTCGCATCCTTCTTCCCACAACAACGAACCCTTTACATTGGTGCCAAACTTGGGAAGAAGGAAGCGGGAACCGGCGAACATTCCATAAGCAAACGTTCACTCACGCCATCGGCCTCGCGCCGCTCTCTCACTTCCCTCGGCCTCGTCCTGCTCGGCACAGTGTCTTTTTTGGTCCATTTGTTTTTGTGTAAAAGTTGGTTTTATTGGCTACCTAATGTTTTTTGACTTTTTCAAGATTGGAACCGAAAAGTGCAAAATATCAAACCATTTCATATTCACTGGTACACTAATTAAACAATACATGAATTCGTAATGTTTCAGAGTTACTGTGCTGTGAGAGCAGAGCACCCATGAACACAGTTTCCAACTGTAAAGGACAGCAAGTGTAACAGCTAAACTTTCACTCATTAATTATTTGGCCGTAAAAGGCATTTTACCTCCATTTATCGTGAGAAATGGAGGTTCACCATGAATGTGAATAAGAACAGAGTCCAGTAGATTTGTTCAATGTTCTGAAACAAGATGAGATTAACATTCCATGCGGCACATGTGAGATTCAAGCAAAAAAAGCAACATTATGACAATGTGGTAATTCACTTTACTGACATTCTCTATCAGACACAAATTAACATGGCAGTATTTCTTGCACACTTGTTGCAATATTTGGTAATCTCGTTGTCGCAAGAGATGACGAGCAGGGGGCTCATTACCATATAAATGTGTTCCTGGTAGAAGACGTGTCCGCTTTCAAGTTCAGGAGCTGTTTTGCTTTGTAGATCTTTCAGGATTTTGTTTGAGCTTTGTAAAGGGGAGGAGTAAATTGAAAGTCACAAACCAGTCTGTAAATACATGATCCAAAAAAGGAAATGCATAAATTCATTCACGTCACATCCAGGTGCTTTTTTGTTGTTGTCATTATCATCATTCTCTTTTTTTCTGGTCTTCCTTCTTTCTGTCAGATATGAGGGGTCCTCCCGGCAACTGGATGTCATATGGTCACCCGTACGCTGAACATGCTGTGTGGAACCCCAAATTCTGTGTGCTCACCGACTATCAGATGTTTCTGCTGGACAGGGAGGAGGTATTACACACACATAACACACGCCCTTGCAATTGTGTTTTTTTTTTTTTTTTTTTTTTGCTATATTTACATGCATTGCAGGTGGGTGATCCAATCATTTTGTCGTCAGATCACTGAAACCACATTCGGTAGTGGTTAAATATTTTGGAATTAATTATTATGTGTGTATTGACACAGATCATGTGAATCACATCCAAAGTTTAGTTAATATGGTCACAGGAATAAATTACACTTGATATTTTTGTGCAGAAATATAAAAGTAAAACAAAAAATAGAGAGTGAGAAAGCAGTAGGGGGGACTATCTGCTGGACTGAACTAGTGCTAGCACATGAGAGCGAATGGCGTGTAGCTGTGAGTAGTTTGTCATCGTGACGTGCAGAAATGTGGTACATCAGCAAGCTCCCTGAGCTCACTCTTCGCCATGGCAGCTAAGACGCACAGCATTTCACAGGGACGATCAATATGTGGCCCACACTTGCAAAGAATATATGCTGTGTAGCATGGTCGATAAAGGATTTTCCGTTCCCCCATAGCTCACACTGTATGTCGAAGCCTCTGTTATCAGCCGGAGACCAGCGCTGTAATAAATCTCCAGACATCTATTAGTGGCCTGGCAGAGCAGTGGTGAATGCTTCTCTGCTGAAGGAGAATCAAGAGACAGATTCTCTCCTGGCCATGCCAGATCTTTAATGCTCTGAGCAATTTGTTTACTTGCTGAACCTATTATTATTATGTTTTATAGTTGGACCTGCTGCTCTAAAGAAAGATTCCTATTCCTAAGATGTAATCTTTGTAAGAGGCTGGATCCAAACTGGAGCTGGTGAATCTTTAGTTAGCATCCCTAGGTAGAAACATTGCATTAAAAGTACCATTTCGGCAATGAATGAAAACATTTTTGAGCCGAATGAAAAGGTGTGTTTTGGTGACGGGATGTTTATTGAACCAATCAGATCAGAGTAAATCGAGTGTCAGCGTGAAGCTCATCTGATTGGCTACATAATGAAGGTGGTCCAGCCCTCCTCTTCACGCTTGCAAAACTGAGTGAGAGAATCATGCTAAAACTGGAAGCGCAGGTAAAAAAAGAGACAAATCGGGTTATTTCGGGAACTTTTTTACCCAATGCACACAGCAAGTCATTTAGACAATTGCAACAGTTTATTTTTTTACACAAAGTTTGATTTTACGCAATTCATCTGTTTTGATGTTCCTGCCTCTGTTGTTTTAGCTTGCAGATTGCTGTTCACAGGCTTGCAATACTTTTGACCGGCTACAGATCTTATTTATTTTGCGTTAGCATGAAGTTGCAGCTTCAAAATACATGAATTACACTTGTGAATAACTGCAAATATTTTTTTCTTACATTTGAAGGGCGATGTACACCTTGCGTATGCAAATTGATTTTACGCTTTCAATTTTATTTACTCTTTCACAAATCTTACCCTGTGCCTGTGATTCTTTATGACGTCATTTTACCTTCATAGATGTGTCTGTATTCTAGATTTAAACTGGGAGAAAGTGACCAAGCCCAGACTATTATCAGGAAGGCTATTCCACATTATAGGAGCTAAACTCCACTCCTTTAGTGGACTTTGCTATTCAAGGTACTTCTACCAAAGAGTTTTGTGACTTAAAGATCGTGATGGATTGTAGTGTGATAAAAGATGTTTTAATACACTGGAGCTAAACCATTTAGGGCAGTATGAACAGTAACAACCATGAGGGATAAATGTGTGCTGGAAACATGATTCTGGGAAGGTAAGCAAAGTCATACAGAAAGTCAGAGGTGCCCAGATCTTACACTGAATTGCACAGAGTTAAGCTCTCTCTTTCTCTATGTTTTCCTCTCATCTTGGCTGCAACGCATTCTCACCCCAAGGCGTCACCTTTGACCATGCTTCAATATTTGACGCTTTAGGCACCCTTTAGCGATCCTACGGCGTCATCTAACTGACGCTATAGGAAAAGCGTCAGTTAGATGACGCGGGTAGGTTTAGGTCTGGGGTAGGGGTAGGGTTACACGCAATCCTCTGGGGTAGGGTTACGCGCGATCCATCTAACTGACGCTAGATATTGATTGACGTCAGATACTGACGTCAGATATTAAAGCATGGTCAAAATGCTTTGTTTGGTCAGTTAGGTGACGCCTTTGGGGTGAGAGCAACAATAGTGTGTGAATTGGCTTTATGCCCAGCTGCACTACTTCCTGAACTTCAGCCAGCTCCTTGTTTCCTGTCTGCCATTATTGGTCAAATTGATTAATTCAGGTGTGCTTAACCTCAGTAGTCATGGCAACAATAATCAGACACACCTGAATTAATCAATTTGGCCAATAATGGCAGACAGGAAACAAGGAGCTGGCTGAAGTTCAGGAAGTAGTGCAGCTGGGCATAAAGCCAATTGAGAAAATGTTCAGGCTAAAAAGATTTCTTACTGTCCATGAAATTATATTCTGCATTATTTTTTATTATTATTTCAATTTTTTTATTGAAAATGTTTTTTTGTCCCTAAGATGATCTTTAGCTGCTTTTCTCGCATGATTATGACGTGGGAATATATATGAAACAACAATAAACATATTAATTATGTATAAGTAATTTAAGTCGCTAGAATCTTTTTGATAAAAATAGTCAAATTCTGTCAAACTGTGTGCTTTTATAGAATTGTTCATGTCTTGCTGCCTCTGATGGACTCTCTTCGATATGAATTGAAGCCAAATATGTGCTTAATTGTGTATTTATTTCTCTATTATGTGTCCTGTTCTCAGATACACCCTCTGCTCCTACAGGGGAACAGGACTGACACCTGCCAAACCAGACTGCTACGTCGCACCATCAGTGTTCCTGTTGAGACGCAGTTCCCTGAATTCCAATGCCATCTCTCAGTGGATAGCAGTGAGTGCACTACTAGTAACCTAGATGTTACTAGCAGCCCATAAAAAGTCTATCTAGTTCTCCTATGCTCATCAAAAACTTGATGATCAGGGAATTTAAAAAAAAAATGTAGTTTTCTAGTTATGCTCGTCTCTTAAATTATTTAATCTGCTAGAATTACCCTTGTGTGTTAAAAAAAAAAATCAGTAATTTTGAATAACTGTCAAAGCTGTCAGGTAGCACAACATTACACAGATGAAAACAGACAAATGCTGTGTCCGAAATCTCCACTAAAGCCACTACTCCCTACCCTCTATGTAGTGGGTATGAAGTAGAGCACTATATAGTGAGCTCACCATCATAATAGAAACACCACTTTCGGACACTACTCGATAGACCTTTCTCACAACTTCCGTATTTGTGACCGGAAATACGCAATTGTCGTGGTAATCTTCTTCCGCTCCATTCATAAAAGATAGCGCCGAAGGCAACTAGTGAGAGTTGTTGCGTACCGATCTTTTTTGTTATTCCCAAAAGCAGCCATACCTGTCGTTTTCATTTCCTCGTCAGTTCCCTGACGATGAAGTTCGACGGAAATGGATTCAGGCAATCTGGCGGGATGTTATTGATCCTGTGATCTTCTGTACTTCTCATGTCACCATTCACTAATAAGCCGTCATTGTTTGTTTATTTTTTATGTTTTATGATTTGCGTATTTTTGAAGTAACGTTAGTTCATGTTCAACTTTATTAAGATATTTGTATCCAGCGGAATAAGCACATAAAATATACACCACAATATAGCCTAAAACAAGATAAATAAGAACACACAACAGTGGGCTAAATATAAATTTAAAATATTAATATATACCATTCTGAGTATTTAACAATCTGAGTGTACAAGGAATAAATTAATATTTGCATAATTTTTCTTCTTCTTTGATCGTTCTATAGCAACAGCAGTGCAAAAAATTCAGGATAACTGTTGAATAAAACTGACAGACTTCTTTCTGGTATTCACATCAAAATGTAGTTTATTGTAAATAATACTCCCTAAATATGAATAACTTTCCACACACTCCACCTTCTTACCTTTAATTAACGTATATTGGGAAGAATGAGCTTTAGTTCTGAAATCAATAGTCATGTCTTTGGTCTTAGATAAATCAGCTGCAGACAAGCATCACCACAGCATTTTACAAAGTCATCAACAACTGGACCATGACAAGTTTACATTTTTTCAAAGTTTTGAAGACTCTCTGATCAATTTTCTCCTCCCAGAGTAGGTTTTTCTGATGTGTTAACAGTTGACGGGAACTCCGTTTCCACAACGATTACGTATTTCCGGTTTTTGTGAAAAAGGTCTATCGTCTCTCGGCGTCGTTGATTACATCATCTGTCAGCTGGTGCCGAGCTGGCACTGGGCTAAATGGATTTTTTTAAATAAATACATTACATTATATTGAGCTTATTTCTCCAAAATTTAAAAACTAAAAGTCATTTCTGGCCATTTCTGAGATAATGCGCTACTCCACACATGATTATAACTTATTTTTACGATCAGCGCAATGCATAATGGTATGTAGGGCTTGGGTTAATGACCATCGGTTGTACACTACTTTTCAAAATGCATTCTAGGATACATTGAGCGGACTATATAGTGTATAATAATCATCACTATACATTCAGACAGCACTACAAAATGGCGATCTCACTATATAGTCCACTATATAGTGAGTAGTGGGTGATTTCAGACACAACAAAAGACTGACTGAACAACAAAGGGGACTTAATGGGCTTTATGCACAGCTGCACTACTTCCTGAACTTAAGCCAGCTCCTTGTTTCCTGTCTGCCATTATTGGACACATTGATGAATTCAGGTGTGTCTGATTATTGTTGCTGTGACTACTGTACTGAGGCCAGGCACACCTGAATTAATCAAATTGTCCAAAAATGGCAGACAGGAAACAAGGAGCTGGCTGAAGTTCAGGAAGTAGTGCAGCTGTGTATAGCCCATACAGACACTGATGAACACAAACCAGGTGACACAGTTGAAGGTTATGAAGACACAGGTGATGAAGATGAACTAATGACAGTAGTCATGGTAACAGATGAGTGGCGTGAAAACCAAAAGACATGTGACTAAGAATTGACAACAGAAGATCAAAACAGACTCAAACATGACACCTATAGTGTAAAAACATCTTTACTTATTTTATTAATCATAATTATAAGGTATTGGTCAAAGTTTGTCATTTGTTTTAGTCACAAACTACCTTTGATACATATTTGCAAAGACACACATTTGCTGTTTACTGAAGAGAGCCTACAGTAGTAGTTGTAATTGTGCAGACTATGCTACAGTAATGACTAAAGGTTTTTTGAAATTATTCTTGCTACCTTGCACTGCTCCTTGTGGCCTGTCATTTTTTATGGAGGCCAGCAGGGGAGGATGTTGGCTGCAATATTTTGTTCTTCTGGTAAAGGACAAGCTTTTATACTCATTGTGTATTTATTTTGTTCATTTATTTTTGTTAACTTTTATTTTTGATGTGTGCATGCATCAAATATAAAAGCGGATGTGTTTTTTTTTTTTTTTTTTTTTTTACAATTTGACTGGCCTACCAATGAATGTTGTAGCTATTTCCCCCCATGCACATTCTGCTGCAAAGTGGGCCCTGCCAAATGTACCTTTTAAGTCACCCTTTAAAGGGTGTATTGTATTGAACACTGAGTGCTGGACCTCACTAGTTAAAAAGGCATGTAAATCGACGAAATCATATTATGTTTATTGGTTTAGGGGTAGGGGGCGGTTAGGCGATTCAAAAAATATCATTAACCTGAAAACAATTGAAGTCGATGAGATGTCTTCACAAATGAAGTGAAACAAATGTGTGTGTGTTGTACATTTTCAGATTGTTTTATAGTAGTGTATAGATATACTGGAAATACATGTGATACAGGTCAGTGATCTTCAAGTCGTTAATGTTTATTATATTATAGTAATGTTATGTGCTTTGAGACATGAGGTAGTTTAACGTCGTCTCTCGTGAAACTTTTGTTTGCGTCCTTTACGTGTTCATGTGTTTTTAAGGAGGCGTGGCTTTGGAGACGCTCTGAATGGAGGGTGGGATATAACATTTATATTTAGGGTGATTAATGTTTGGTCAGATTGTATTTTGATTGTAAAGATTTTATTTTCAGATTTGTATTTTCAGATCAGACCCCACCCCATACTGAACAACTAATAAAAGATAAACGATAAAATCTCTAAGCTCACTCGTTTGCTCCCTTTGAGAACTAGAGCAGCTTCTGTTTGATGAGGGTGAGAGCAGAAACAACCTCAAAACATAAACATCAGATTTTTTTTTTTTCTCTAGGGAGTCGAAGAGCACAAAGCATGTACTGGACATCAAAAAAAAATCACATACTAATCAGAGAGCCTTTTAAACAAATCCCTTAAATAATTAACAATAGTAGTGTCAATGTCTTTTGAGTTTCTTAGTGTAAAATATTTACTTTTAACATCTTAACTTCTGCTGAATGCTGGGTACTGACATGTCAAAATGCCTTTAAATCCCTATTTGAGCTTGTAGCTTGTTAACCTCACAAACATCAAAGTGAGTCATACACGCAGTTTGTATAAAGCTGTTGTCCTATTGCTCATTCAGATGTTTGGCAAAATTATATCAACTAAATGCTCATTGAAATAGACTGACGGTATGCTAGGTGCTCTTTAGCGCTCATACAGACTAATGTGACAGTGTGCCGTTTGATATGTAGTTTATGTAATGGGGAATTTCAGAATAAGATGATTGAGCACGTTTTATTGCGGTCACCTTTTAAAATGTAAAACTGATAATGACCAACGCAATAAGGTGACCATAAATATTGGACATTTTGTGTAAAGAGTCTACAGCGTGCGTAAAATATGCAGGCTTGTAAAAAGTATCGTTGCTGATACTGTGTCTTTAAGAAGCATGTGAGAAGTAGGAGCAAAACAGAGACCGCAACTTCTGCGGGAGTAGTCAATCTGCATGCGCCACAAAGCATCCATTCTGTCTCTTTCTCTCACTGTCTCTCTCTCTCACTCTGGAGCAGTACACAAAACACAGGACAGCAGTCGGGGCACAGAGTAGTTCTCTACACATAGGGTGAAGGGAGCACCTCTTCTCCCTCTCTCTCTCTCTTCCTTTCTCCTCCATCTGTCTCCTTTCAGCACAGTATTTCAGTTGTTGGACTCTCCGGGAAGTTATGGAGTCTGAGACGAGCCCTGAGTCGGAGGGTCAGTCCGGTAAGTGCTTAAGGAGAAAAGTTGGAAAAGATGCTCTTGGCCCTTGCCTCAGTATTGGGGGACTGGGGATGCATTTTTGGCATTGTGTGTTTAAAATGCTGTAAAAGTGCATGCATGAGTTTGTTGAAAACTATTCTCAGGGACGACACACCTATGGACCACCCACAGTCCGTTCACTGAACGCCCGGTGCATATTGCACAGAAAAATGGAAAACACTTGCATATCTATCTATCTATCTATCTATCTATCTATCTATCTATCTATCTATCTATCTATCTATCTATCTATCTATCTATCTATCTATCTATCTATCTATCTATCTATCTATCTATCTATCTATCTATCTATCTATCTATCTTATCTTTCTTTGCGGTATAATCAATTTTATGTAAACCTGGTTCTAAATGGCATAAAACATCAGTTAGTCTATGTAGATGTTTTCTGAGCAACATAAGCTGCAATGTGGAGTAGAATTTAGTAAAAAAAAAAAAAAAAAAAGTCTGCCTATGATTAAACTAGATGCATGTCTGTCTTTACAATGATCATTGTGAGTCCAAAGATTTACTGAAGATGTTCATGTTGTTCAAGCAGGTAGCATAAAGCTATTATTTTACTTTTTTGTCTTTCTCTTTCTCTGTCCATCTGCACTAAGCTATGTTTGAGTTGTGCGTAACTGGGGTGTGCTCTGCAAACATGATTATGCTGGAGTGTGTGAGGGAGTTTCA